ATATATTCCGATAAGACAGACAGCACCAGGCAGTGGCATCACAGTGTAATGATATAGCCTGTTAATGTGACGTGGTACCGGAACAACATCTAGCAGTTTGATTTGTAATAACGATCGCGACAGTGTCCCGCATTCGATCGCATGTGCTCGCAATCGCGCTATCCAATCTATAATTTATCCTCGCGGTTACGCGTATCGCTAATACGCATCGCGTCACGAAATAAACCAGTCAATCACTGCTCGACGTTCTAATCCTATGATGCACACCCGGGAGCTAGAATATATCAACTCCACTTCTCCTTCCAAATTTCAAAAAATCTAATTCAATTTTTGTTAATCATATTCAGCTATAAAAAACTTCTGTGTATATAACTTCTATAGTAACTTCTGTGAAAACAAAGTTTCTTCATCACATTTATTTATAAAATAAAAAGAATGAACAATTTCGCGATAAATGATAATCGAGATATAATTGTAATATGTTTATATATAATATATATAACGTGGCCACACCAGATAACTCGCAAATTGTGCTATTATTCTATAATTATAATACAAATATCATGGTAATTACGCGATAGTCTCAATTGACAGATGAAATTGCCAATCTACTCCCTTTTGCCTTTGGTGACATTTTAATTACTGTCGGCGATATCGATAGCGTAAGAATTGTGAAATACAACCAGCGCGTGAGATAATCGGCAAAAATGTCACGTGTCATTATTACAACTTATCGTTTTGTGTTGGTTACATAATGCATACTGCGTCATCGTACAATATAACTATAACTCGATGCAACTGAGTGAGAAGCAACAAAGGGTGACAAATTATCGTGGCCAGAGTGACGACAACATTTTAATCTGATAACTCAGCTTTTGAACATTGTATGCAGACTACAATCATAATATTACCAGATATATCATCATTAGTGCTAATTAAATGCAATTTTCAACGATGATGTTTATGACAATGTTTAAAGCCATCCGTCACTGTTGGGCACGCGCGCGATGTGTAAAAATATTTGTTTATCAAGAATTCTTATTCGTTCAATTTGAGAAACTCAAAAAAATTATAACAGATTATAAATTTATTTCTTATTTATGAGTCATGAGTTACTTACTGTTACAATATTTTTTATAAAATAATAGAAGTAAGAAAGTTTGGTAATTTTACAAATGGATGTGTGTCATAATTTTATTAGGAAGAAATCGATCCGTAATTTTCAAACAGCTTAAAGATACATACTAAGAAAATTATGAAAATAATTATACTTTACAAATCAAAGCAAATGAATTAAATAATTACTCAAGCAATAAATATAGAGTGAATACAGAGAGAAAGACGCTATAGATTGACTATAAACTATTAAACATTATTTCAGGAAGCACGTAATAGCAATATACATATTTTTTTTGTAGTTTGTCCTTTTTTAATGCAAAACTTCGAAGTTACATAAAAAAGAAACTTCCAGGTGACAATGCTAAATAGATGCGTCATCAATCAACATTGTGCGCGAGTAAGGATCAACACGTTTTCCTTTTAAGAACCGGGCCTCAGTCTTGATCTGTTAACTGTTAAGGTCGCGTTATGCCGGCGAAACGTGAGCAACAGCCACCTCCGCATTTCCTCACCGCACGTTCGTTGGCGTGTCGCTTTGTAATAATAACGGCGCGGCCGCTGCAACACGAAGGCGAGACGCGCCTTTCATTACGTTCGCTGCAGCGCGCGCCAAAAGCGCCTAATTGCAGAGATTAGAAACGACAGCAAAAAGAAAATAGTCACGAGAAAAGTCGCTCGAAATTCCCCGGCATTCTTCACGCACAACTTTGAACAGATATTTACTCCACAGAAAACATTTGATACGGCCATCTGGCCAAAAACTATATCAACCTTAATTTAAATTTTTTAAATAAACTCGTAGACACAAATCTTTCTTTATAATTATAAAATTTTGAGACAATTATTTCTGTTGTGGAAAATTAAAACTAAAAGGATTTCACGTAGATCCTAAGATACGCGAAGCGACGAGACCGACAATATATATCTTTAAAAATTAGTCTAAAAAAAATACTCCAAAATTTTAATTTTTTTTTCATTTAACATTTAGTTCAAAATTTTGTGAGATTTTGTTTGTAAAATCACTATTAGATTTCAACGTCTTCGTGCTCTCTCGATCGATATCTTATAGAGCAAGCGACTGATTATTCCTATTACCTAAAGGCTTCGTAATCGCGCGTGTATCAGCATTGTCATTAACCAGCCATTTTGCCTCGTTACATAGTCAGATAATGAGATTTCCAATGTATCTGCCATGAACTCCAAAGGATAAGAACTGATCCTAAGCTATACACTTAAACATACATATATGCGGCATATATAATAAAACGCTACGTGAAGATCTGTATGAAACGTACTCTTTCCTTATACAAAATTTGAAACATAATAGATCAACGTTTTCAAGCATAGAACAGAAAAAAATTCGCATCGAGTAACCGTAGAGAATTTTATTATTATTTACCGTTTCGAATTTTATTATTTAAAATTTTAAACTGACTTTATATCTTCCAATAATTTTGCTTTAAAGAAAGCATGAACGTTTTTGGAAAATAACGGTAAAATATAGTAACAAGATATTCTCTCTTTCTCTCTCTCTCTCTCTCTCTCTCTCTCTCTCTGAATTTAAAATTCATTCTTTCTTCCCTCTGAATATAGAATTCGTAACTTCGATCAAACTCAATAATATCCTGTTTTTCGATACAAAAAATTTATTCGATAGAATAAATTTTTTGTCGTGAGGCAAGTTTATACGTTTCAGTAAATTCATCAAAATTGGGATGACTAGCGATTGCGAAATGATAGCCAATGGCTGTGAATTATTAATGTAGCTTCATGAGAGAAAGGAAGGAGGACCACGGATAATTTTGCAGCGAGCCGAATGTGATTACGCGGTTCGTTACACGTATCTGGCATCAATGTTACTTAACGCGGTTGGATGCACACGCTCAAAGTATTCATTGTAACGCTGAAAATCACGTTATAGCCAGTTTTGTAATAATAATGATAATTATAATAAGCGATGCATCATTATGCTAAAAAACATTTATACTGAATTTAATCATAATTCGTGTTTTGTATCCATCCTTCAATTATTGATCTGCTGAAAGACAATCCGCGGAACGGCAATTTTACATTGGTGGACAATTCAACGATTAAATTTCACCGCAGATAAATGGAACCGGTTGAACATAACGAGAGAGTGATTCGATCTACTCTTTTACTCGGCCGCTTCGGAAGCGTGTATTTTCGGTTCGTGTCATTATTTAATTTCATTCAAAACGCTTTCCTCTCGACGCATTGTGAAAAACCAAGTAATTATTAAAGCGTTAAAAAATGCAACACGCAAAGCATTTTTTAAAAGAAATTGAATTTTAAAAAAGCTTTATTTTTTGTATAAATCATAAATTATTGAATAACTCCTCTTAATTTTGAAAATTTTATACATTGAAAAAATGAATGGCTGAACATGTGATACATGTACATAATATATACTCAAATGAGAATTAATAACATTAAAAGTATAAGACAATGCTGCGTAAAATATTTGATAATTGTGTAGCCAGTAAATATATTAATCTTTTTATAGTTCACATAAAACAAGAATTTCATTGATAAATTGCAATAATTATTTCAATAATGAATGCGTAATTTTAATCGATATTAAGCGGATGCATTTAAATAGCATTAAATTATACATGCCTACTCACTAATTCCAGTCTATCGTTCTACTTTAATAAATGAAATAAACTCATTTTGATAGCACCTCATTTATTTGTTATTACATCGTTAAATTATTTCAATAGCTTTTAGCTTCATTGAACATTAAATACTGTAAGTCACAAATATAAAGAAAGGGTTCGCTAAGAGATGAATTGAGCTAACAGCTTTCCGTGCAATTATTCGGGAACAATCTGTCTAAAATCGTTAACAGTACCATTGACTACAAATCCAATTCAATTATAGCGGACAAGAAATTTCCTGCAAAATCACTCGCGGAACTTCGCCCGAGGAAAGTTCACGTCAACAGTACAGTAGTCTGTCTGTCGTTTGTGTACACTCACGGATTCGCATCCCTATTAATAATGCCAAACGCGAACTCACGCGAGCGAGGCGACGAATAACGACGAGTCGGCCGATTATTAAGCCGGGAATCCAACACCCGCGATTAACGTGGAATTACCGGGACACATTGCATCTCCTGTCGTCGCGATAATGCACGCGCGCAATGATGGAATTTAAGCTGCAGACTCCGCACGAGAGTCGGGATGCACACCGAGTAACTTCCAAGATGCGCTTTGCGAGATTCGCACAGAGCTAGAATTGGTACTTAACGCTTCGCCGAAGACGCGGAGCGTGGATTTATTGCAAGAGATATATGGCAGGTCGGAAACTCGATATGTTCGCCAAACGTTCCAAATGGCTGAACTTACCAATTCGAGTTAGTAGATTAATAAATGATTTTCACATAAATGGCGAAAGTTTAAATTTACGAGATATTTTATATTAAGAGTATAAAATTATATGATTAGTAAGTATTATAATAATACTTATCTAAGATCCATCTAAAAATTCAGTGTCTATAACACAGTTCGATATTCATAATAATTCAATCTAACTTAGAATATCTATAAAAGAAAAAATTCGACATCTAATTCCTAATGTCTAAATATTCTGTGCTTTATTATATTCGAATAATAAGTAATGTCAATTATATATAATTTATAATTTGTTAAATAATATCTCAAGAGGCGACTCGTGCACAGAAAAAAAAGATTGGCTGAATATGACATAGCATTTTTAACTGGTTGCAGCAGCCAATTAAAAATGCTATGCCATATTTTACCATCTAATTTGCTGTGGCAGCCAATTCTTTTCTTTCAGTATGACACAACACCAGTTTATAATGAAACAGCCAGTCGGATAATTAAAACGAACGACCTTACCTGGTCGTGTTAATCGTGAAGATGGTTTCGATGGATCGACGATCGAGCACACCGCCGCTAAGCAGATACTGGATGGCGATCAGGGCGAGAACGACGCAGGCGAGCGCCTTGAGATGGGCACGATGCCACAGTGCCACGGCTGCGGCGGCCACAGGCATTGCATGTGCGAGACACCATAACTCCCTTCTAGCCGCCGTTAGAGGAGCACCGCCGTGCACCACGAGGCACTCCTCCCTGCTGGCCGCTTCCAGTTTCAGCTGCAGTTGCAGCCGTCAGGCCAGGGACCGACCCTGTTGCAGTTCTTCTTCTCCTCCCTGAACGAGCACGAAGGGAGAAAAGCCGCCTGGGGCTCCTCACTTTCGCTCACTAGGAGCATCACCCTCGCAGCGCCTCCCGATCGTCCCCTCGAACGATAATACCTGCGCAACAGAAACGTACAAGAAACGATAAGAAAATTTCTCGCCCTGAAAGATCTATTAATTAATAATTAATTTATTAACAATTAATATCAATATCGTCAATTATTTTGATATATGAAGATTTATTATAAAATCAATTATATACATAATTTAATTATATCGTGAATTATTTTATAATTGGGGATATACATTTATTAAAATTTATTTCAATACTCTGACCTATTAATTAATTACATTACATTTTATAATTTACTAACATAACACACACATACACATATCGATTTCTTCTTCAATTATTCTCAATTTTTATTCGCTGGAAGAAGAGAATATTTTCGTGATATAAACATATAAAATATAAAAGAGATACGTGATATGTTTAAAATTCTATAAAAAGGAGTAGCAGAATCCGCTGATAAAATATTATCTCAGTATATTTAAATTTAGATTTAATTACGTCATAACTGTGGTGACCCCATGTGAGAGAGTGACGGACTCGTAAACTCATAACCGAGGTCGTAAGTTCAAACCGTGCATCCCACATACTCGTATACGAATAATTTTGTAATCCATACTGACTTCCACAGAAGAATTCTTTAGATTTAGAAAAAGAATTTTCTGGACGACTTTATGACTATGAGGTTAGGTTCAATATACAGAGACTAATAAAGATCTCACTTGTTCCCCCTTCTCATTACTAATAATACTACTAGTACAATGTCATAACTAAAATGTGCGAAAAATATTTTATTAGCCGATTCTTTTCCACAGTATGACAAAAAGATATGACGATAGATTTAAATAAAAAATTAATGCGTGTTTTCTCCTTCTTGTGAATAAAGAAAAATAACTTAAGTGCGATATGTACATAGATGCGAATTTTTCACGAGATCTTTCGCTTGACCTCGCCTTCAAGTTCCTAGCTAATATCACGCGGGGCCATTAACACCGTAAACTGTAAAATTTATCGCAAAACAGCCTGGAAAAATGTAATAATACCGGCAGTATCGTATACTTTCCGAAAGTTACGACCCGTGCTCGATGAAATAAAAAGGAAGTTCCTGAAGAATTAAACGGAGAATTAAAAATGCTATATACGAGAGTACTAAAAACAAGCCTATCTCACGGTATTACAATTCTATTGCCAATTTTTATTGAGATATCACTCATGTCGCGACAATTTCATTACATAGTCTAATTCTTTTGTCGCTTCTTTATGCAAAAAATATAACATTACTTAATTTTGAAAAAAAAAGGTTAATTAATATTTAATAATCAATATTTTTTAGTATACAAAGACACAAGCGTCTCATTGAATAATGTATATAGAAAACATAAAATCTATCATGTTTTTAAACATTTAAAAAAAAAACAAAAAATCGATTTTCTGACAAAAAAGAGAAATAGTACCATTTTTTATATAATATAGTATAAAAATTGTGCTTTATCAACGTGATATTAATATACCCATGAGTTTATTTGTACAAACGGGTGGTAATAACATTAGCGAGAGCCGAATCCGATACGTTGTCGGGGAAATCACTACATTATTGGAACTTTATCGGATCAAACTACGTCAGTTACTCTACACCACGCCGACCGAAACTAATCCGAGTTTATGTGCTGGGGGAGCTTCTGAATAGTCGTGTTTAACGAGTTAGCGGACTTATCGATCTGCGATGGCAGCTCATTCGATTGTTTCAGCGCAATCTTTATTATAGTAACTCGTCTATTAAAAAGTAATTATCGGCCTTTATTATCGCCGATAATATATACAGTAGAGATTTCAAACCCTGGCTTCTACATGTTTTCGGTAACCCGGTTTGATTAATCTGTTGATTAATTAATTGGTAAATTTGCCAAACTACATGAATAAACACGTGTACGGTTCTGCGCGAATGCAGATTTGATTGCACAAATCTCTTCAAAGTGGAGTTTGTTACGATACAGCGAGAGTGAGATTAAAGAAGAAAACTGCTGCATTTGTAAATTTGGAGTAAAAAAGAAATATCGAATTGACACACGGTGCTTTATTTTGTCAGTAATTACAGAATAAAAGCTAAATTCTAACAAAATCTGTAAGCATTATTTTCATTTTATATTCTTTGTAAAATCAGAATTCCAATAATGTAGCGATTTCCCTGACAACGTATCGGATTCGGCTGCGTCTCTCGCTGCTACAAATAAAAATTATAGTAATGTATTCATATTCTACTATTTTTACTTATATCTGTGTGTAATTATATTCCACATTAAATATTTTTTAAACAAAAATAAGTAAATTGATACAATATATATTTTGCCATTGACATATAAATATATTTAATATAATTTATTAAAAATAAATTATAATATAAAATTAATAATTTGAAAACAGTTCGTTGCTTATTACTATTATTAACTTCTGACCTGTACATTTATATATTTCGTAAAGCTGAAAGCATATATTTATTACTTTCTCAGTATTTCATAATATAATACGTTCGATTCATTCTATTATCATGAAACTTTCTTATACTGACCTTTTCGTCGTATATAATATATATTATAGAATTATAGATATATGAGACGAATATTTATGTATTATATTTCGTGCTAAGAAGTCTGGAATATTGCTTCCGTCCTCTCCTTCTTGTTTCGCGTGCTTTGACGTAAAACAATGCTAAGGTAGGTCGTGCTCTCCGTCTATTCATACCATGAACGCCTATGTTTAATATGCAGTCGTAATTCCAACCTCCCCCCCCCCCCCTTCTCTTTCTGTGGTCCTCTCTTGTTGTTACTAGCTGCCCGCGCGTTATCGTCCGGCTCCACTCTAGCGTACGATATAATGCGCCCTGATTTCTCTTCGAAAATAAACGACGGGATATTACGGGTGACACTGATATGAGGAAGGACAAGATACGCGATCTCATGATACGATCTCATGCTATTATAGAAAAAAATGTAACTGACGGTGGAATCTCATGAGGGGAAGAAAAATTACGGAATATATTCGGCACATGAAACGAGACTTTGTTGATCATTAATTAACGCCAATCAACAAAGTACGATATTATAATAAAAAATACAATAATAACAGTTAATAATACAGTTAAAAAATACAATGCTCGTGCAAAAATGAAACGTAATTTTTTTATTAAAATGACTCAATTTTCTGATTTTAATTTTCTTTTTCAGAATAATAATTTTAAATCATGTATATCATTTATTATATTATACAATATTACAAACTTTTTCATCATATTATGGAAATATTTAATTTCGATATTTTTTTCCAATCCGTGGGAAGACACGATATCCAATTCAATATTGGTAAAAGCATTAAAATCATTTCACATTGAGTACTTCTAATAAATTGGCATGATACGGACGACAGCAATGGCCAAGATTAAAAATCCCGAACGACCAATTCCATTTGACAACAATACTCTTTCTGCCGTCACAGCAGCGATACCTTTTTCCCCGAGGGTGGGCACGAAATGCGACACGGTGCTCCATCACCCGGAGTGGAAAACATCATTCGAAGGCGAAAAACCGCGGCTTTTCCACTTTTCGAGCTATCGGATTTTCTCGCTCGGCAGTCGTCAGGATTTCCGTACTTCTCACGACCAAGTTGACGCACAAGAAAGTCCCTTGTGTCCCATCGTTGCTTTTCTTTCTCGCGAAAAGAGTTCATGATTGCACGCGATGTGACGAAAAGACGATCGATAATTTCGAAATGTACAATAAAGGGCACGAGAATGTACCTCTGATGTTGCAATTTCGAATAATTTCACCATCCCCATTCCATAGATTCCGTTCATTCTTCTGATAATTACAGATAGGTCATCTGAAAGCTCTATTTCAGTTTAGTACTTCGAACAGAATTTCAGAAATGCACAATTAATGAATGGTGCTTCTGATTGATCGTCGAAATGTTTGATTATTTTAGTGTTCACCGCCGGCTTTATTACTTTCCGCATAAAAAAGAAAATAGCGTGCGCGCGGCTACTTTTGTATGCACTCAGCCGCGTACTTTATTTACGGCCATATAAAAATTCAAAGATAGATATGCACGGTTGAATTCTGCAAGAATACAAAAATGCGCTAGGCGGAGCATAAGGGAACGCGTAAAAGGCAGATCGTAAATTTTATGTAGCTACTCGAGATCCATCGTCATTCCAGATCGTCATCGTATAATAGTATCAAAGTACTGGAACTTTGTATCTATAACATTATATGCAACATAAGGTATATAATTTACGTATCTTATACTTGTATCTACCTTTTCTACTTCAAAATTAATCGACATGGCGCTGAAACAATACCATATTTTGAGAGGTAAGAGAAAAATACAATATAAAAAATAATAAATTAAAATAAATCTGACGCAATTAAAAATTGCAGGATTAAAAAGAATTAGAATTCTGTCGTCTAAATACCTATAAAGTTAATTGCCTATTCAGAACCGGGTTAACGAAGGAAGTACAAAATGCACCGTGTATGCAATCACTCGTTCGCGTGGTCGACCCATTTTGATAAAATGCGCATTTTGCGCCATCGCGGTATTTCATTTCCTCTGTAAAACGCGCGTTCATCGTAGCCGATCCTCTCTCTATCGACGGGCAAAAACCTCTCGACGACGTCGCCAATCCGTCTCACCGCAAAATACGCGACCGCGAGAAGATAGAAAAAGAGAGAAAAAGAAAAAGAGTGAGAGAGACGCGAACAAATAATAGCCCTCTCTCGCCTCGCATTTATCCCTGTCACTGTCGGTGACAAAACAAGTAAGCTCCGAGAACGGTCATGACAAGAGTCATTCGCCCCCCCCTGCCGGAAGTATTACCGCGCTTCTCCATTATCTCGTGGCATTATGGGGATATTATAGATACGTTCTCGCGACGACATTTATAACTTGTTACAACTTCTCCGAAACTACGTCCACCCTAGCTTGTTCCTTGTCTTGCTGCGCCCCTATTGACTCGATGAGCCCCTTTCTCATAACGCTCCTCTCATACAGTTTG